GTTAACTAAAAAAAAATATACGATACGACTTGTTTATATATTAGTTATATACGATTGATATACGACACGAATCCATATGACATGACTTGTTAGACATTAATTAATAAATGAATCAGTTATGAGTGAAATATTTTTTGACACAAGACTCGATGCGAACCAACTTCACTTTACCCAATTGACAAACCTAGGTTCAAGTCTGTGGTCAAGTGTGGGGTCCATGTCTGGGGTTGAGTTCAAGTCTAGGGTTAGGTTCTGGGTCCAAGGTCGAGGTTGGGGGTCAAGTCTACATCTGGAGTCGGGGGGGGGGGGGGGGGGGGCGTCGAGGTCTGTGTTTGTGTTCGGTGTCGAGTGCGAGTCTTGGTTCGAAGTCAGATCTGTGGTTGAGTCCGAGTACAGGGTTGAATCTTTAGTCCAGGTCTAGTGTATATGTGTGTGTATATTTTGGTATATTAGTATGTGTGAGTGTGTGTATTTTAGTTTATTAGTGTGTGTGTATTTTATTGTATTAGTATGTATGTGTTATTAAATATGTATCTATTTTATTTTAATGTGTTAGTGTATGTGCGTGCATGTGTGTATTTTTAATATATTAATGTATGTATTTGTATTATTTTTATGTCTTGGCGGATTTGAAATTCTTTGTTCTTATTATACAAATTTTCAACTATTAGATCAAAAGAGCCACACACATAATTGTGAGATGATCTGAGTCGAAAAACACAAGTAATTTTTATATTCTGCAAGATTTGAAATCCTGTACATTGAAAAAGAAAAAAAAGAAGGTGAGTGTTTGTTTGGTCACCGCGTCATTACTTTATAATATAATAACGACTCATTTTTTAAAGCAGTGTCTATAACCACCACCAATGCCTCTCCAAGCCTGCCAAGCTCCAAACTAAGAGAGAGAGATGGGAAGAGCACTTGTGGTGGGCAAGTGCTCTTCCAACGTCGAAAGCTAGCTGAGCTCCGAGGCTCGCTCTATAAAGTTTTGTTCTTTGTTCCTTCCCTATATCTCTTTCTCTCTGCCCTGCTTCTCCATATATGTAAAGCAAACTCATATATTTCAGAGGTACGACATTCAATCTGTGAGTGTGTGTGATTGTGAGAGTGTAAAACTCCTCAATTTCTGCACAATTTCTGTTCGTTGTAGCGTCTAATCCTGTAACTCAGGTAATCCTCTAATCCCGTCAATGATCAATTTTCGGATTCAACACTAAAATTGAAACAAATTTCAGGTAATGTATAAGCTTTGGTAGTGCTTGTTTCTGTGGAAATTTTCTTGGCATAAAAATTTATTTTTTCTTTGTAGCGCTATACCTACCTGACCTCTCTCCTTTCAATTATCACCCAGAGAAGCTATCCACTGCAATTCTTTATCTAGGACTAACCGTGAAAATATCTACTTTCTGGCTGTTCAATTTTATGCCTTAGAATACGCAGGTGGTCTTCAAATTATGTTCAGTCTCATTATCCTCCTCAATTTTTTTTTTCTGGGTGTTTGGACGAGTTTACTCGTATCTCCTCGAATAGTCTCCTCCCTGACCCGGTCAAAGACAACCCATCCAGATTAAGAAATTCACGAGTCGTTACCAAATTCTGAATTCAGGACTCGTCCATGTCTCCGGTGGCATTTCAAGAGCCTGTAAACTTTTTCTATCTGGACTGCTAAAATGCGCTTGTTGCTTAGGTTGGTAGTGGTCTCTCAGGCCAATTCTGTTCCCGATGAGTAAACATAATAGCAGACCAGTTTGTTTTGTCGTGTTCGTCATAACCACACATTCTTCGGTTCGCCTTATCAAATTGGTGATTGCTCTGTTTAATCACCACCGTTGATAATATATTTGATAATTGACCTGGCCTTTCAAATGACGTGAGGGTCCCTAAATGTTATTGTTGAATGGACGGTCGCGATCTAGTAGCAGGTGAGATGCGATAGACTGTGACCGTTGGTGGTGGTTGAAGTTGGAACAAAACCCTTTATCTCATGTCCTGGTTGGTAGTTGCCAGTGATGTTCTGTTCTTATTACACCAGAGGGCATGTGACAAGTGGGGATGGAAGTGTATATCCCAGTATAGGATATCCTAGTGTTCACTGGGATTTATATTCATTATGGTTCTTGGAGTTGTTTGGATACATGTTTATTTTCATATGGCATTTGTCAATGCCAACTCCAAGCATAACCCAAAATTTCGATAATTAGGCTCATTGACATAACGAACTTTGTTCAGCTAAACTCCAAATCCTAGAAGTCACTGGCATTCCTTGAACCGTTGAACCCACAAAGCAAGAAGAAGATAACACTTCCAGGATTTGTTGAATCAGAATAATCAATTGCTTTTGTTTTTTTGGAACATGAAATTTCCTTGTAAGATGGCATCTCTCACTTTTTTGGGTGGGTAAATGGAATCTTGCACTTTTTTGGGTGGGTAAACAGAATCTCTCACTTTGTCCATGAAATTTTCTTGGTCCACATTATACCAGTTCAAAGGCTTAGATTGTATCGGGATAAATTTGCTCTTTCTTTTCGTTTAAAAAAGTGTGCATCATTGGTTATTTTATTTTTTAAAAAGTATGAAAATGCAACTTCAGTACCATGTTCTCAAATTGTTCTCTCTGGGGATTGTTCGATGTCAAATTGTTAAGCTTTTCACTGCTGGTGACATGATATATCGCCAGTTACCTTGTAATTGATAGCTTGATTGCGATGCAGAGAGAAGAGGGAAGCATCTTTATTGGTTGGCAAACTTGAATTTCAATGGCTTCGCCTTACTTTGATCCAGAGTATGAGAACTTAAGCATCAGATTAAACCCTCCAAGGTTCTCTTTGTACACTCAGAATTGTATTGGTTCCTTCATGTTACTGATCTGATTGAGTCAAATGATATTTTGTGTTCTGTCTTCTTATTCTCGTTCTCTCAACCTGCTTCAGGGTGTCTGTGGACAACACTAGCTGCAGGGACTGTACTCTAGTCAAGGTAATTTTGAACTTATTTGAAGGGATTTTTCTATGATGATGATGACCAAGCTGGGCTGTAATTAGGTCACTCTAAGTCTTGCAATGCCATGTGGAAAGAGAGTAGCTCAGAGCTGGTAATACGTAAAGTTTCTTACATTCTGTATATTATGAATATGTGAAGTTAATTCTCTCCAATAAGTAATATTCACAAGTCTCATTGAAATACTTTTTTTTCAGTAAAATGGGACAACTTTTTATACCCCAAACAGAAGGACACAAAGAGAAAAACCTCTCTGTTGTATCACTATCCACTGTTCCATCCCGTATGTGTCTTACTTCCCAAAATCTTGCATGGAAGAGAAAATTTTATTTTTTGCTACATAATTATTTACTAAAAGGGATGGTTGGACCTTGGAATTTTTTTGTGGCTTTTGGTGACCAATGCATGCGTCCTTTCCTCCTTCAAAAGGAAAAATTCTTTGGTAATAACATAAATTTTTTTTCTTAGCCCCATAATGTCATTCCCATGTCAAACCATCTGCTTATATCCATGAGTGTATAAAACCTACTCTAGATAGCGGAGATCTCCTCTAATATCTCCAATATACAGGGATTCAGAGATAGATAAGGGGGCTATATCTTTTTCGCATATTTCCCTGGAGATATTCCTATTTTGATGTACAGGTTGAAGATTTTTTTCCTCTACCGTATATAAATGCTGAATTTTGGAGATATCAATCAATTCTTCGATAAAATGAGAAGATTATCCAAGTTTCAATTAACTATTTTTGAGAGATTGAGACAACAAAAAACACAGAACCATACAATACATCTTTCCCAGTTTTGGGAGCAACCTGTCACTCTGTCTCTCTCTCCCCCTTAGCAGATAAATTCATTTTCACTTGTAACTCATCTTCAAGTGGATAGGGACAACTATCAAATACGGACACAGGCATGGGATAGAGTCCAACACGACACTGACATGTCAACACCATTTTTTTTTTTTTGAAAAAATGGTATGGTGTCACCATTGGGGAACTCTACAAATTTCTTAGTTTTACTTATCAAATTATATAATTGATCACTATAGTTATGTTTCACTATAGTTTTATACAACATAAAAACTAGCAGTTTATGATAAATAAAATCTTATATCCATTACCACTGTATGAATTTTTAAATTGATGGATCATCGTAGTCAATAATCATCGATTACTTTTATCGACCAAGTGTAACAAGCATATTTAATTATAATGATTTCTTTCATCTTCTCAAATCATCTTCTTTAGTAGAGCTGTATATCATTTACTTTATTAGTTAAAACTTTTATACTATTAGCCTTTACAATTATATAGTTTTCCATAGTATATGATAGTTATATGTGAAAATTCTAAACTCTTATAATTACATGTTGACACTTTTTTTGGTTATAGAATCAACCTAAAGAAGTGCAGGACAAATGTCCGACACACATAACTAAAGGAGTGTCAAACATGTGTTTGAAATTAAAGATTTTATTTTTGGTTATCGAAATGGATGAAGCACTATTGAACACATGTTCAAGAAGTGTCGGGGTCTCAAATGAGTCCAATACAGATACGTCACCTTCGTAAGAGTTTTAGTGCTTCTTAGAAGGAAAGCCATTTGGAACCTTATCGATATGAATAGGCAAATAGACCTGGGCAGCTGTACCCTTTCTTCCTTGAAAATCCGTTACTACACATACCATCAGTGGTTTTTTGCACCATTGGGATTGATATGGAACTCAAATGAGCAAAAATTCAACTCCAAGTGGATTACAGCATGAAAAATCGTTAAAGTCAAGATTTGTGATCAGAGTATGGTCGTGTCGTTGGCACTATTATGTATGAGCCATTTGGGGTTCTCAAGTGGGGGAGTCCAATATCGGTGATGAATCTCTTGAAAATCCATGTTGTAGGGTAGAAATGATTTGTAAAAGCAAGAGATTTATAAGCATTGTTTATGGCTACTAATGGCATTCTAGTGATTTGTACTCTGTACTCTCAAAAAAAAAAAAGTGATTTGTACTCTGAACAAATTGTTTGCTGTCCACTTTTTGCAATTTATCCATTGCATTATTAACATCAATGCATTGTTATTGTAATATTATGACTCCACTATGAGAATTATAGGTCATTTAATTGTTTTCTAAATTTTTTCAAAACAATTCCACGTTTTCTGCTTATTTCCGTAACTTTTTTGCATATGTTCAATATTTTATATTTCTATCATTATGTCTTTGTTTTATGATGAATGATATTAATAGTTAGTTGCTTTCTATCAACCTGTGTAGTAGTGCAAAATATTAACCAACAAGTCACTGGTTTGTAGATCCCACCTAATATATATTGTAGTCCATAGGAACAAAGATACATTCATTCCATGTATATATGTACATATATAGTTTATTATGTCTACAATCAGCCTGTGAAGAATCTGTGTTGTCCCATTAAGAACATTCTTTTCCATTGTGTCAGACAGCATGATTTTCCTGGGATCCTAACAAGCTTTATGTGATGAACTTTTTAGCAAATTTGACCAAAATCCCATCCTATGGAGGCAAAGTTGCCTCATTTGGTTTTGCATCTAGTTTTGGCAGCAAACAGAGCATAAAAATTTGAAGATAAAAACACTGTTCAAGCCCAAAAGTGACTTGAACATACTATGAGCACCTAAAGACCTTACAGCAAACAGCTTGGATCTTCACTGCATGGTTCATTGAAAAAAAAAAGCTTCCCTTTCTACCTTTTTCTCTACTATTCTTGCTGGAATGACCAGATGAAGGTTGTGAATGCAATGATAAGGTTGACAGCTTGAACAAACCAGGAATACTGCTAGAAGTGGTGCAAATCTTGTCGGACCTTGATCTCATCATCACCAAAGCTTACATCTCCTCTGATGGTGGATGGTTCATGGATGGTATGTACATACTTCAGTGATATTTTCTTGTTGTTAGAGGAATGCTAATTATGTTGTCTAGTAGCTCTCTGTTTTTAATGTTCTGTTTTCTCACCTGGTTCAAATAAACTATTGTGGTTACAGACGTCTATGTTAAAAGAAAACAAAGGTCTATGTAAATCAAACTCTGGAACACCCTTGCTTGAGTAGCTTTTAAGTGACAATGTTGATTGCCAGGGTTTTTTCTCAAAACAGTGTTGGTTTTGTTGTGAACCTGAAAGTAAAACGGGTATGACAATCTAAACCACTTTTGGGAGATGCCCAAACAGGCCCCTAAATCTGTTGAAAAAATGAGAATTTTGTTCCCAAGTTTGACTCACAAGAGAATCTCGGTTTACCCATTACGAGGAGTTGCACACACCTAGAGTTGTTGTGGGAAAAAGATCCTACGGCAAGTCATTGGGACTACTCTCCACTATTTCAAAAAAGATGTTTTGTATATGTGAAGATATGTTATTACATTTGGCTCTGCAATTTTGATAATGGAATCCATATGTGGTGGCCCATTTGGCAAGAGTGGCAAATTAATGGGGAGCTGATAGAGAGGTGCCCTTTGGTAGCCTCCGTCTCTCCATATCTGATGTGCACATACACACACACTCTCTCTCACAAGTCACAAACACATCCACATCAACACACGTACATTTCTACACACATCTAACAAATTGGTGATCAATTTCGCTTGTTTCTGTACAGTGTTTCATGTCACTGACCATCAAGGGAACAAAATTACTGAAAGTAAGACCATTGATTACATAGAGAAGGTATGCTCTTAGATTCTCCTTATTCTATTCTGTGCTTTGCTTTTTTAAACCCAGAAAGACATGCAATCCAGTTGGTTTAAGCACGGCCCCAAAGCTACTATGGCCACACTGAAATCTTGAAAAACCACTTGAAATGCAAAGGGCATACATAGGTTAAACACTGAATTAGTCAATATGCTGTCTGTTTGATGGATGGATGACCTTGTGTGTCTGCTTTACAATGCATTTTACTTTGCCATGTTTTCCTGATGTGCACAGTCCATTTTGGTACCAGCTTACTTATTAGACTATGGGTTAACTGAGAAACATTTGACCAAGCAGCCAACTGACCGGTCCTGATTCATAGAAAAATCAGTAGATGAGAATTGGTGACTGTATATTTTAGTTTAGGCCCCATTTCACTCCTATACAAAAACATCCCAACACCGAGCAGTTGTGTTTTTATGATCAGTACAGTCGTGGTACTTGACACACATCAATATAGGCAAGGTCACCCTTGTGCTCCATTTTCATTTCTCTTGGTTCCTTATCACAGAACATGGCAGTCGGGAGCTCATCTCTCTAAAAGACAAGAAGGTGCATTTGATGATTGGGTTGGGTTCCTAATTAGTTTGATGTCCTCCCTTCCTATGGTGTTAGTCGGGGTGGTGAATGAACTGTAAAAATGGGAGCAACTTGGTGACATGTGGCCTATTAAAATTTTTAATGATATTAAAAGATCATTTCTCTAAATATTTCCTTTAATATGTGACAATAGGCACTAGGACCTAAAGGCCAAACTGCAGATGGGTTGAATACATGGCCAGGAAAGAGGGTAGGGGTGCACACCATTGGTGACCATTCAGCCATTGAGCTCATAGGGAGGGATCGACCAGGTCTCTTATCAGAGATATCTGCTGTCCTTGCTGATCTCCACTTTAATGTAGCTGCCGCTGAAGTTTGGACGCACAACAGGAGAATAGCATGTGTTCTTTACGTCAATGATGATACCACATGCCGTGCTGTGGATGACCCAGCTCGATTATCTGCTATGGAGGAGCAGCTCAAGAACATTCTTCGTGGGTGTGATGATGGTGAGAAAGTGGCTCATACTAGTTCCTCCATGGGTTTCACCCATGTTGACCGGCGACTCCACCAGATGTTGTTTGCTGATAGGGATTACGAAGGTGGTGGGTTGGCAACAGAGACAGATTCTCCTTGTACATTCAAATCAAAAATCACAGTTGAACATTGTGTGGACAAGGGGTACTCGGTAGTTAATGTAAGGTGCAAAGATCGGCCGAAACTTATGTTTGATATTGTGTGCACACTCACTGACATGCAATATGTTGTGTTTCATGCCACCATCTCATCTGATCGCCCCTATGCATCACAGGTATGTGTACAATAATTTCCTGATGAATAGCCTAACATGCAAAAATCTCTATTAAACCAAATAAATTGTGACTTTCCAATGTCCTTTGAACTGCATGCCTTGATAATATTGGGAAAGTAGCATTTTCATGAATCAGTAGTCTCCGGTCACTACAAATGTTTAAAGGCGTGTCGCTTATTCAATTGGTATGCCCCACCTGAGATAAGAATTACCTAACATGAGTCTTCCCTTAGGTGACATCATATATGGTGAATAACCTCTTCCTTGATAAGTTTCTGTTCTAGATTGCATTGATTATTAACTGCTTATCTGAAAACCACTTGATGAAATTCTGTTGTCCCCTGGATGCATTTAGCTATACTATATTGAGGTTATTTAAATAATCAATTTATGTGCTCAGACCGCATTCAGCTGTGAAGAAGTGGAACCATTAAGAACACCTAGTAGCACCTCTTTTGTGTTTCCCAGCATTTGATATGATTATATTTCTGCTAGATACATGAAATTTGCAAAAGATCACACGTTTTCAGTTTGAATCACCACTCAATTTGTTGACTTAATTGTTTGAAATGGCTCCATCTTTTCAGTATTTACTCAAAACTCAAAGATGGATACTTCCTCAAATGATATGGAAGAGAATGCAATGATCTCTTTTTGAAAGGAAGTTCTCAAGAGGCTTTGCAATTATGATTTATGCAAGTAAATAAGTGAATTGGATTTGTAGGAGTATTATATCCGTCACATGGATGGCTGCACTCTGGATACTGGAGAAAAAGAAAGGGTCATCAAGTGTCTTAAAGCTGCAATTCAACGAAGAGTAAGTGAGGTGAGGGAGATAGATATAGTTTGGTATGACAAATTATTTGAGAACATTTGAATTATGATAGCACTAAAGCATTTTGCATATTCAGTATCCGTAGTCTGCTTAGTATTGAGATACTAGTTAAACCAAAAAGATTTCGGAGCGGCAATTATATTGAAACTGTTAGTGTACACTGTGTTGTCAGAAGTGCATGGTTTCCACTTAAACTGGTGGCCAAAAAAATCTAGCATCGATTTAGGATTTAAGTTTTTCCTTGGCCTTCTCCTTCGATGATTTACAAGAATAAACAGAACATACGAGGAGAACTTTGACCTTTGAAGGACCAGATACAATTGATGGATTCAATAATGTTATGCAGGGTCTAAGCCTAGAACTCTCTGCGAAGGATCGAGTAGGTTTGCTATCTGAAGTAACAAGAGTCCTTCGAGAAAATGGGCTAGCTGTTACAAGAGCGGGGGTCACAACAGTTGGGGAGCAAGCAATGAATGTTTTCTACGTGCGAGACGCTTCTGGAAATCCGGTGAACATGAAGACCATTGAAGGACTTGGCAAAGAGATTGGGCACACAATGATGCTTAATGTGAAGAAAGCCCCCACAAGTGCAAAGGCACCTGAAGCTAGTGGATGGGCCAAGACAAGATTCTCCTTTGGTAGTCTACTGGAAAGGTTTTTGGCTTGAAATTGTCTATTTCACTGTGAGTCATGTATAGAATAACAAAGGAGTTGGATAAAACCTGGACCACGGAATGTGGAAGTTCCAGAAATTTGGGTTTTGCTACTCTTTTTCCCTCTCTCTCGGAATATGTGATGGTTGAGTACAATGGTCATTTTGGAAATTTGAAGAAATGAATATTCCATTCTTTTCAGTGAAAGAAAGTAAATATGACTCTTGAATAGGTATGTTGTATGCACCTCATTGGAAGTTACATTATAATCAAACTAATTACCGTTTAAACAAATCAAGTTACAACTCAATAAGATTGGCACACAAACTTCGGATATGTCACAACTTCTTAGTATCAGTTTTTTTTATAATTAAGTCGTGAGTTATCTCATTTTTTTTGTATAATAATGAATAGCGTAAGTTTTCTCTCACAAACACAAACACAAACACAAACAAAACATAATTATATTTCACCTTTGAATTGTCATTTTAGTCCCGAACAAGAAACCATTTCTGAACTGTTGCTATTTGCTAAACTTATGGTAATGCTCCGATAATCTAGTTGAAGTTGAGTAGGTCAGAACCTAGAGGCTTGTTTGGCTGAGAGATGACCTGCTTTTCTTTCCTTTGACTTCTACTCTTCCTAGCTATTATGTTTTATTTTTATATCCCAAATGCGCGTATTGCAGGTTGATTGGGAAGAAATTTTTCCTTTTCCTTTTCCTTCCCTTCTCCCACCGTATGAAACTCCTTTGCGATTAAGGACATATTTGTTTTGAGTATAAGGCTGGTACAAACAGGCCGGATAGGAAAAATAGTCCCGCTTTGTTTGTTTTTTTTTTTTAAGTACGGGCAAATTGTTTGACTTTATTATCGGCTCGGATGTGTTTGTTTGCTGGATAGCATTTCTCGATATTGACAAATACTATTGTCCGTAAAAGAAAATTAACACCGATATTAAATACAAATTTAATACCACTTACTGTTTGTTTCAGTATCAATAGATTAAGTGGAACTTACCGCAAAAGAAAATATCTCATGACTTTTTTTTTCACGCAAAAGGACACTTTTAACCTTAGATATTATATGGGAGATGTGTACAAAGGGGAATTATGGACATTTTATAGCTTATATCGTACCATCGGTCCAAATTCATACAACTTTATTGTGGGGTCCATGTCTGATTGAATGTCAACAAACTTAACATAAGATGAGATTATGTCAATTATAAAACATTATCTTACACGTTAGTTACGGAATGGGTCGAAATGGATTCTCCCATCTCATCCAGTCATTTCTCTAAATATATATTCCCTAAAATGTTTGTAGTTCATAATTGACAACGACGGGCGGAGTGATCCACGGAATTTTCATCTTATTCTCTTCGATTTTGATATTATGAAAAATTACCGATGAAATCCACATCTCACCACCATACGATTTTGATATTATGAGAATACCTATTTTGGCCATAGCCATTTGGTTGCTTTAAAAACCAATATTTGGAGATTAGCAGACACTTAAAGGCAACTCTGTGAAATTGAAGCCATCTGCCCAAGAGCTTGCGTCCAAACCAAGGCACATAAGTGGAGTACTCCAAACAACAAAGCATTATTAAGAAGCTTATATATGTAATGTGTGTATATTTTGAAAGAACAATGTTATTAGAATATAATTTAAAGATATAATAATTGTGGTCATTAGAGTACTAGTGGGTCCCAACATTAAATGAATTTTACTATCAATCCAATGATTAAAATGTATTATGTCCCTAATTTTTTTTTTGTTTCAACGGTTAGAGATATCTGGGTCAACTTATGCGCATCTCGACTAATTTCCTCTCCGGTCCGGTCTAGTCAACAGCAGGTCATTCACACCCGGACTAGAAAATTCATGAGGGATTTCTTATGACCAAGATTTGAATTTAGGAAGTCTGGATTTATAGTTCGTCTATATTACCACTTAAACTACATTCAAATTATGTCTCAATAGTATTAGTGATTTTGAAAGTGTAATATGAAATCTAGGTTTTGGCAAATTTAAATAGTCGAAAGATCCTTGAATAATCTTATTTGGTAAACATTTAGTCCAAACCAAAAGCACATTAGTGGAGTATTCCATTCAACAAAGCATTAGCAGTAAGGTTACGTAATGTGTGTATATTTTGAAAATCTAATATCAAATCTAGATTACGACAAGTTTATATAGTCAAAAAAAAAAATCTTAAAAATTTGCATTTGCAAACCATTTAGTCACTATATACGAAATGAAATTTCATTCGGTTAAATTAGAAAATTTTGAAATACAAATGTAAGAGGCAAAAAATTAGAGTACCTTCTATAGGATGAAGGGTTGTTGTTTCTTATAAAAGTGAGTTCTGAACTCGTTCTTCCAATCTTTCTTTCCTGCAAAATGAATAAACTGTTTAAGATTGAAGTGCTTCGATCAAAGGCACTCTAATGCTTAAGTCAGTAGTGGAATAAAGTCAATGGCAAGAAGACAAGAAGAGTTCAATGTATCTTTCACCTGGACTCCGTATGCCCTTTATAAAATTTTGCTCAGTTAGGATTTTCATGATTTTTGGTTCAAGGTGATACAACTTCCTTCAATTTGACTTATCTGTGTTAGGAAGTTACTGAGATCTCTCCAACAGTTTCTTTTACCGAGCCTAAGATCATGCTCATTCGTTTGACCAGAATGCTTGAATTTTAAGCATCTCTTTAACTCTGTGTTTATTGTTTGAAACTGTAACGCCCCAAAAATTCCCGTGGGTGACATTACATTCTAAAAACTATTTACCGTATGAGAGCATTAAGTAAAATTCATCACGACGAAAGTTTCATTCATCAACCATTCATATTTTAACAAAATTTGGGCAGAGTTTCCTTTGTACGGGGAACTCTACCCAAAATACAACCTGTACAATTATATTACAATTGACCACACCGGATCCACATATGCATAACTATTGACCACACCGGGTCCATTTTTCTATCATAAAATAAACTTGCATTCATCATATGTCATATCCACACTATCATCCCAAATTAATAGGTCTAATATTGGCCTTTACATCTCCAAAAATGTAATAATATAACGCAGCAGAAATAACAGAAATGAACTAGAGTTCAAAAGGATATTCTAAGCATAATCTAGTCTAGAACAAAATAAAAGTGTCGCTCTAAGCGTCCACCTCGGGATTCACATCCCCGTCAAGCGGAGTCTTCCAATGGGTGGGCTCCTCGGCTCCTAACTCCTCCTCAAGTGTGAAATCTGAAAAAAATTTATTTGTAGGGGGTGAGCACGAAGCTCTGTAGCAAAATCCTCTCAACTCAAATAAGGTTTGAAAAACATAGCAAACGGTCGGTCTCATTTCACAACTAACATATATATAGGTTTGGAATGAAACAGTGACATTTTAAAAGAGATCTCAAGTTTAAACAATAGCAATAATCAGTTAAAAGAATAAAGTGAGTTTAACATCGATAAACAAAATTCTAATTTAAGCTATTTAAGAAGGGCTTCTCCCTAAGCATTGTCCCATACCAATGCATCGGCAAGAACGACCCAACTCCCGATTCCATGTATTTTTGGTTCATCCCCGTACCATGTATGTTGATTGCTTCTCGTGAATCTACCTAACGATCATGCCTAGTCCACCAATTCCAACCAACAATCACAAATCTCTTTAGGAAGGGCGTGTACCGTCTCCTACGGCATTGACGAAATCCTCCCAAGGTGTCTAGTATACTAACCCTTTTCCTCGGTGTATATGTGAACAATAGTGATCGCGAGCACAACAACGATCCACTACGAGCATTAGGCAACCATCTCACCCCCCATTGGGATAGACTAACCTCTAACACTCTACGACATCTCTCGAAGGTAATCCAAGTCCATCACAACAACCATACAATGAGGAAATCAAGAATATTCACAATTCACAACAATTTCCCAAATATAGTAAAATTCCCAATTTTGTTTTCACATTTGTCATATAATCGAATAATCCAAGAAAATATGCAAGAGATCGTAATCTATATCATTTTGTTATACAATATTCAACACTAAAGTTTTAAAATCAAAGACAAAGAAGAAATTAGGAGAAAATCTCTTTTTCTTGAAAACTAGGGCTTTGAAGATAAAAAAAAAATCAATAGAGCTTTGGTGGTTACCCACCCTTCATATTGTTCAAAACATGACATTTATTACAAATAGAACAAGAATCATGTATTTCATATTATATATATGAGAAGGAGAGTGAAGAAACATATATCTATATACATATATATATCTAGCCTCAATGTGAGAGATTGAGAGAAAATCCCCTACCTTAAATCAAGATTCCAAGCTAAGACCCAAGCTTCAAGACCTTATTGCTCTCCTTTCTTTTCCTCTTAATCTTCTCCTCTTAGGGTTTCAAAAGATTTGGCTAAGAGGGTAGCAAGAATGGAAGAAAATGGGAGGAGAATGTATTTTTGAAGAATTTGAAGTTTTGATTTCTATAAGGTATAAATCCCTCTTGATTGGTATTTCTATCTTCCTCTCTTCCTCTAAAATGGTTCCTAGGGTTTGGAGGGGTGAAATGAATGCTAAATGGACGACATTAGGTTTTTATAGGGCAAGAAAATCGAGCAAAACCCGATATTTTCTGTTCAGAAAAAATCGGGTTTCCTTCGTACTGTTCACAGATTTTTGGTGCGACTTCCAGGTCAGTTTTGACCCATTTAGAGGTCGAATTGGAAATTTTTCATTAAATACACTTTTGTAGCCCTAGATGTCTATTATTTCCTGCCAAAATTTCAGATCAATTGGATATCAAAATATAAAGTTATGATCAAAATACTAAGCAGTGTCTATCACCCTTTTTTACCCAATTTCACTCCAATTTGGTTTTACTTCTAAAATACGTCCTAACTTCTAATACATCCCATATTACCTCTCCCAATGTTTTTCGACCTCCCGAATTCAATGGTAATGTTATTTTGATAAAAATAAATTAAGTTTGACCCAAAAGTCAATCCGTTCGAAACTCAAACTTCATGATTAATATTTCAACAATGATTCTAAGTTTTTATCCTCATTTTATTCATATTTGAAAAAATCTTAAGATATTAGTATTCTTATTTAATTTTAGTACAGGGTCTTACAGAAACAGCTCGATCATGATGAGGATCAACCTCTTCTTTTTATTTTCGAGCATTTTGAATAGCTCGGCTTCGATCTGATGACTGAGTCTAATGATGTTTTTATCAAGTT